ATGTATAATCCCTATTCACAATATTTTTGACCGATTTATTCCATTTATATATAAAATATCAAATTGGCATAATTCTTGTAAATATTTAGCTATAATTTTACTAAACTACAAGTATAATATTTAAAATCACTAAAATTTGGCTATAATTAGATATAAAACAATTTTTATCTAAATTTAATTTTTTTAAAAATAATTTACTGTAAATTTTATTATTTTTTTTTTTTACAATTATTTTATTATAATTATTGCAAAAAATAAAATATTATTTTATAATTCGGCATATGTCGAATTTTTGCCAAGTAATACTATGCCGAATTTTTATCAAATAATATTATGCCAAATATTGTATCCGAATGTTTGACAAGTGACAGCATGCCGAATGGCACTATTTTGACTAGTGATAGTCTTTAACTTCAAATTCTATAAATAAATAAATGTAAAAAATCAAATTTTTCAAGGCAATAGAATAGTTTATGCAATATAATATATTATATGTTATTTGTTTCTATAAAGATTTAATAAGTATATATATTTGTTTGATTACAAAAAAAAAAATATTTATAATTTTTAAATATTTATAGAAAAGTTCTTAATATAATAATAAAATTTTACTTAAATAGAATTTATTATAAGAAGCAAGTTTATTTAATATGTAAAAACTGATATTATTAATAAAATAAAAAGTTTTATATATAAAAACTATTTTTGATTAAATATAATAATTTTTAAATATTTTGTTATTAATATATTTTATTAAATAAAAAATTAAATATTAGATAAATTTTTATAAACTTAAAATTTAAGTATTTTAATATATGTTGAACAAAATTTATTAATAGCAAATTTCTTATTAAAACAGTAGTTATAAAAATCGGATAGGTGTCAAAATTTTAAAAAAAATTTTATTCAGAAAAAAAATAATTACATGTAATAATAAATGTTCGTCTTAATTTAATAAAAATTTTATTATAAGTAGAATTTATTATGAAGAATAAGTTTACTTAATACATAAAAATCGATTATATTAGTAAAATAAAAGGTTTAATATATGACAACTTTTCCAATTAATTATAATAATTCTTAGAAGCACTATATACAAAAAAATACTGTGAAATAACGCATTTTGATTGGCGGAGATTGTGAAGGAAAAGACTGTGAATCTTAAGCATTTTATGTACGTTCCCAACAGAGAAATTATGTGGTCAGGAACGAACGCATCTTTCTTTCTCGAAAATATCTGGGAGATACAATGCTCAAGCCTCAAAAACCGGTAACGCGTGCAAAAAGATCAAAAACTATCTCGATTAAAAAAAAACAAGGAAAAAGCGCGACTAAAAAAAACCAAGGAAAGCTCAAACCAAGAACAGCAAATTCCATAGATTATCTGCGAGGTCAAAGTCAGAGTCGCCTAAAATCAAGTTGGGCTAACATAATTAAGCGTTATAAAGACGTTTCTGATGAAGAAGCTGATGTGATAGATATAAATTCTCAAGAAGTCATAGTTGATCGAGGTGCTATTCAAAAAGGTTATGTGCACACATTTGGAAAGGAATCTGATTTTCGTTATTCGAGCTCTCCCTCGGAAGAGGACGATGATACAATTTGGTGGTCAGATCTTTTGTCTGAAGACGAGATAGGAATCGTAGATACGACAGATTTAAAGAGTGAAAGTATCGATCTCTCCAAAGAAAAAACCAAATACATAAAGGAATCGTTCTTAGAAGATACCGATGAGATATCCCTTTGGATCGATGGTCACTTGTCTAGGGCAAATTCCGATCCGAACATTTTAATAGAAGACCCGGAAACAGAATCTGGCGTCGAGGACGAGAATTCTTCATGTAATGACACGGACTCTATTGAAATTCCATGCGATACTTCCTCTGATGAACAGCCGATCCAGCCATCTTGCCTAGAATATGGTTGCAAGGGAAACATCGAAAACTTGGTGAAAAGAATCAATTATTATGATATTGAGTCTGGATCAGAAGGTTTTGAGACGTGTTCAGACTATGAATAATGTCCATTAAATATTAGGGATGATCCAATTTCGAAAGATATTACTCAAAAAGTGATTGGATTTTTTTTGTGGTGGCATTGTTAATATGACATTCCTTGTATTATATTTTTATATTTTCTCGTTACAGATTCAATAATCAAACTCACTAATTCCTATTTTCATTTAACGAACATACAGTTGCAAGTTCATAAAAATCAATAATGGCAAAAAATCAAAATCATAAAGTGGCTAATTATGGCAAAATTTTCAAACACCCGTTCCTCCAGTAATTGAACTAGACGCGTGTCGTTGAAGCTTCGCAGTGGCAATGCCTGCATGCATTAAAGAATGGAAGTTAAACTATAAACATTTTATAATTTCGATGAATGTATACCAGTAATATTTACCATAACATATGCCAGCCAGAAGTAAAGTAACCCCAGGTGCGATTAATATTGTTCTTGAAATAATGGTGGATACAAACATCAATGTTGCAAAACTAAATAAAAAATAAAGTTCTTTTAATATACATTATTCCAAAACACTCACGCAATTAATAACATTAAATACTCACATAAGATATCCGATCGTGCGAAAGAAATGATTTTCAAATTTTTTTGTAAATGCATCACTTCAAAACAAAAGATATGTAAGTTTGATGAATTGAAAATTTCGAAAAATATACAAAAGACTTACAATTTAGGACTCGTCGGGCAAATCTATGAATATATAAAATTAAATTAATATAAATTTCAGCTTATACAAAGAATCTGTTGGTCATACCTTCGTGCATAGTGGAATTTCAACAAAAATCAGAAGAAAAGCGATAACCCTATAAATATCGCATATAAATTAAACAGGATTCGCATTAACAACGGTTACTATATCAAAAAAAAAAAAGAATCTTCAGTTGGTGCGTACCAGGCCAAAATGGCAAAAATAATGTTGTATATGAACGCTAAAACACCAGCAACGACGAGTACTTTAAATAATTTAAACAGGTTAACTGTAATTCTAAGTAAAAAAAACGATTTAGAAAATAACTTACAAACTATGGACGCAAGCCCAAACCTGTTTCAATTCAAGAACAAGCCAAAGTAAAGATAAGTATCAGTCTCTTTTCAGATAATCGGGAAATTCCTCGAACATTAATGGTAAGAATGAAAGACGCTCAAACTTCCAGACATACCATTGAGCATAAATTGAGAAATTTTTGGATTTTAATTCTTCAATAAACCCCATTTTGCAAAAAAAAGATAAAACACGTAGTTTTTGAGTATTATTGAAGCGGTAGGTAGTAAGTAACCTTATTCGTCGTCAATAGACTTTTATTATATTGTCACGTGTATTATACTCCGCGAAATCATATATTGTCGTTATCGCCTTATCATGTGATTTAAACAATACAATATTTAATTAAATACTATTATATGTTTGAACAAAATAATGTTAAAACAAAAGTATTGTAAAATACAAGAAAAAAAAAGGATTTATTATATATGAATTAGTTTAAATAATAGAAAAAGTTTTAAACAAGCAATATAAATATCTTAAATAAAAATATTTAAATTATAAATTTATGTTTATTATTTTTTTATTTGATTTATATATAACAATATATACAGTGTGTTGCAAAACTTTTTTAAATTTTTATAAAAAATATATAATATTATTAATCAATTTTTAGATTTATTTTATTTAAATTTACAAAATTACAAAATTATAAAATTATATATTTTATTTTTAATATTATAAAAAAAAATTTTTTTTAATTTAAATTTTTTTTAAAAAGTAAAAAATCTATAGATTAAATTAACAAATTTTTAAATTTATTATATTAAAATTTATAAATTTATAATGATTTTAATGGAATTTTTATTTGTAATCGATTTTTAATACTTAAAAAATTTAAATTATTATAATTTTTAAGTTTTAAACTTTATTTTAATATATTTTTTATTAATTTTATACAATAGTTTTTGAATAACAGATAAATAAAAAATTCTAAAAAGTTTTGTAATACACTATATATATAATATTCTAGCTAACTTCAAAGTATTTTAAAAAATAATAAATCAATTTAATTAATAAAAACAAATAATTTTAATTAATAAAAAATTTAATTTAAATTGATATAAATTATATAAACAAATTTATTTATATTATCTTTTAATTTAACAAAGTACTATAGAGTTTTACAAAAAATTACAAAAAAATATTTAAACAAAAACAAAAAAAACATAATATAATTATATATTTTAAAAGAAAAAATATTTTTTTAATAATACAAAATCTCCTTCAAATGTTCCAATATGATCCTAACCAGTCGAAGTGGTCTCAACCTACCTGCATTAGAAGAAAGGCAAAAAACCACAC